GGTTGCCATGGCCACCTTGTGAGAGACATTCAATTTTCTCTCTTCCATCATCATTATCTATGAGGCCATCTGTTGTGGAAAATGAATTCAGCCTCATTTGCATGACTGATAAGCAATTTTTTTTTTAATCTATTTAACAGAAGGTCATATGCCGGGGATTTGGAGCTTGTGAAAAAAAATGTGGAAAAAAAAAAGGCTGGGAGAGGATGAGTGGGAGTGTGTGCATTAGGGATGTATGTGGAAGTAAAACAGACCCCTGAGGCCGCGAGCCTATCGGGCTGCATTGTCATTCCTGCCCGGGCGACATTTTTTTTTCCCCTAAGCTACTGCACACTAAACAGAGTGAGAGAGCTTTTCCCTGCAGTCTTCTCGAAGCCCCCCTGGTTTTTTACTCATTGTTGGTGGGTGTCTTTTAATTTTTTTTATTCCCTGGACTATGGTTTATGATATCAATATTCACTGAAGACAAAAAGCCACCTTTTCTGCGTCTCGGTGGTATGCATATTCCGCATCGTCCTTTCAAACTTGTGGTGGAACAGGGCTTCCTGTTCTGTGTCTTTTCAGCCAGCACAGTTACCAAAATTGAACTTGTCTTTCGCTTGTGAACGGTTGTGGTCATGTTGTGAGGTATGTGACGTTCATTAGGTTAATTCTTTGGACTTAGTGATCAGGATCTGTTTTATCGTAGTTCAAGGGCTTGGGCTGCAATTCTATTGTTTGCTCCATTTTAAAGTTATTTTTATAGCATGACTGGTAGCTGAAATGTTCCTGGACGAGAGGTTTTGTAATCCACAAAAGTCTGTCTTTAAAGTAAAATGGGGATTAAGTTGCATGCCTTAACCGTGATGTTGTTCATTTTAAAAAATAAAACAGCAACAACAACAACAAAAAACTTGCTGCATGTATAGTGGATGATATGAGGATCCTGAAACAAAAACTTCCCTGAGACTTTCCTGGATTACTTTATATTGCAGATGAAGCAGATCATTTTATCCAAAGACTGTTGGAATATTAGTTATTCCTGATGTATTGCTATATTTGCCTGATAGCAAGAAAGTTGATTTATACTGTTTAAGTTGAAAAACTCAAATAAAGATTTTGAAGTTCGTAATAATAAAACAGCATTTTATTTATAACAGAAATATGTCTTGTTATGCCACTTAAATTCATAAACCAAAGCTAAAACTGCACACTTTACCTTCAAAATGGAGCAGAATAAAGGAATAAACATGTGTAAATATTAATATGAGAGTTAGCTCCACAAAATATAGAAAATAGATTTGGAGGTTAGTACTAATTTAAACATAACAATTTATTGTAGCATAAAAACTGTATAAGTTAAAGATATTTTATGTTATTCATGTAGAGTAAAAATATTTTATATAAGAGCTTTTCTGTTCAAGTTGTTGTTTATAATTTTGACTAAAAAATTAATATCATAGACAAAATCACCCCACTACTACCCTTTCAGGCATTTGAGGCTCAATTCTAATTGTTCAGCTTCATAAAAGTCATGTAGCTTTTTAAATGGTAAATAAAGGCATTCATTCTTTACAGATGAAAATGTGATTATTTCAAAAATAAAAGCATTTTGCACAATATTTCTTTTATAAAACAGTAGCATCACATTCCTATGTGTTTTCACCTCTCAAGAACTTTGAATCCAAAGTGTTGACTGTATGTTATAAATGCTACTAAGTGACACATTTCCAAAAAAAGGAAGTTTTTTTTTTCCTGACTGATCTAAAGGAACATGTATGATTCTACCACCTCAAGTTCATAAGTCAATTGGCTGAAAGTCTCCTTAAAGTTCTACTTTAACAATACATTTTCTTTATTAAAGACAATAGACCACTGCTGATGTATATGCATGATAATACTTTACTTGACTGCACTTTTAGAACTCTTCTATACTATCATAGACTTCCCATAAGCAACAGTAATTGTTATATAATGCTTCTTTTTAAAAATCAGTCATATTTCTTTATATTGTAGCTTGAATTTTGGAAAAATAAGCTCATTTTAAATATTAGTTTCACTGTTTGCAAATTTTAAATAACAATTTCCTGGTAGTTTGTGAAGATTATTTAAAGTGACATCAATTTTCTCAGAGGACCAAGTTGAAGCATCAGTAATTTGATACCTGAGTCTATATTATAATATGAAGGATTATGTTTTTGTCTTTTGATCAGTACATTTACTCTTAAGATTGGTGAATAAAAATTGTCAACTTTTGAGGAGATAGTATAGTTGATTCTTTTTCCTCACAACTCCCCCCCCAGAAAAAAAAGTTAATTACCAATCTTGGTTGGATTCTTCCTTGCCTCCCTGACATTTGACTGCTGCTAATTCACTGATTAATCTCATTAATGTGATTATAGTAGGATTTGGAGTTGGCTGCCATTGTTCTGTAGACAGTGCTATTCAGCCTGAGCACTTGCCACCTCATTCAGTTTTGCTGTGATTTTTCAAAGGCTGGCTGAGTGAGCTATTGTGAGCAAGGCTTCTCTGCCTTCCCTTTCAGCACCAGGAGCTGTCCGCAGCTGATAGCAATTGCATTCAGCAGTGACTGACTTCCTCCTAGTTTACTGGCAATGTGAAAATGGCTCACTTTCATCACCCTAATGATTGTGCTAGTTGAGGCAGAAGTAGGAGAAGCCTTTATGGTCACAATTGGAAGTTTGAAAGACAGTGGCAGTAAAGTTCTCTATACTTGAAGATTTTTATTTTGTAAAGAACTTCTAGATGTCGTTACATCTTTGTATACTTCACCCTATTTTCCTAATGATCAAACATGAATTTGTTTAAATTACATCTATATGTGTAACTGTTGATTGAAAAACTAAATACTACTGCTTTTCAAATGGAAAATCTTTATTCAAACATATATATTATTAATAAAAATGTAGCTCTGAAGAGATGAACCAGAAATTTCTGGTACTACACAGTAAGGCAGAAAGTGTACATGACACATACATTTCAACTTCTCTTGAGTTAAACTTACATCCACCAGCAGAACTTATTCCAGTTTCAAAAATTTGTGTTAGAAGCTGAGATAAAGGTTGAAGACTTAACAATCATGGCCATATATGAGTGATGTACAAAAAATTCATAGCTTTCTTTTGGATCACAAAACATGTATAAGCATGATTTTATAACTATGTTGATATTTTTAGAGAATGAGACTTCTTTACTGTGTTGTTTTCATTGTTCTTGTTATGTTTTTCACCTAATTTATTTATTTTTTACTCTCTTGAAAATTTTGTATTTGTACCATAATATTGAATACACCCAATTATTTTACTGTCTGATTTTTTCTGCTTTCTTTGTTAATGCTCAATAGATTAGGGAAAAGAAATTTGTGATTTTACAATTTCAGTGCTTTTTGAAGTTTTTCTATTTGTTAAAATATACTTAAAATTCAAAATATAACCCCATAATCTGATTATTTGTTCCACTGCCTTTATAAATATTCCAAAGTCTGATTTTTAAAAGCCAATTAATTATTTGTGAAAAAAAAACTTGTCAAGTAAATAATTTCAAAGTCAGTTGTATTAACTAGATTTTCAACTCTACCTATAAGTCAGTCTGATTTGAAGGAGAGATATTGCTTTAAAAATACGTACTACATCATCTTAAATACTTTGTTCACTGATTATACATTTTAATGGCTAAATTTTTAACATCTAACAACTTAAAGCTTTTTTTCCTCTTAAATATATTATATTAAAAAATCCACTCAGTGGATTAAGAGGAACTAACTAGTAAGACGCTCTTTAGTAAAGACCACTCTGCCCTGTAATTGAAGTTTGTCTCACCTGGGTGTACCCTTCAGTCCAGGGCTGTAATTTCCAATCAGTAACCAGTTTTTCATAGGCATGAAGTACTTTGTTAGGAAGTCCACCTTGATATCAAGTCTCATCAGAACTCTGTTCAGGAAGCAAATGACTGACAAATTCAGAAAAGGAGGTCTTCATTTTTTAAAAATTCTTATAATCAAATTACTCTATAGAACAATTTTATTGCAATAACATTATGCAATTTTTTAATTTTCACATTTTTAAAAAGGACTCTCCATGAATGTTTTCTTTTTGTCACTGAAAATTTGTGTAGCATTCCTTTGGAAGGAGTGAGAATAAGCATGAACAAAAACTTGAAAAAAACATATTTTGACCAAGTCAAGTTTCATCATACTGTATTTTATACCACAACACTATACCTAACATTGATCCACCTTTTTACAAGCTAAAGGCAAAAGATACCACAAACTTAAAGAAGAAAATACAGATAGGTGGGTTGGTTTGTTTGTTTTGTAATTTTGGGGGGGGAGGGTATTACATCCAAATATCATGTGTGCCTGGGGTTATTAAAAAACATTTTAAATTTTCATACCCCACATATTAAAAATATTGTCTATAATGATCATAGCTTGCACAAGAATAATGCTAACTCCTTCTGTAGTAATATTGTGAGTTTTCTGATATTAGATTATTTTAAGGCAGCAGCTATCCACATTTGCCATTAGCAAGCTGTGTTTCAGCACAACGTGGTTCAGCCTGTAGTAGCTTTGTGTCCTGTCTCTCTTCTCTCTTCCTCCACCTCTTTTCCTCTCCTCTGTCCTTTCTCTCTCTTTAACTCTGTCCCTGTTTGCCTCCCTTGCCTCCCTCTCTTCTCTCTGTGTCTCTTTCACACCTGCATTGTTCAAGCATACCCAATGATTTTTCTATGCATGTTTCCACAATGAAACTGTTTTTTGGCTTTGACATCACAATGAGTCCTCAGGGTGTCTCAGAGATGGCAAAGAAAATATAAGCCAGGTGTTATAAAACTAGAAAGAATGCATAAGTGCGTATTTGTTATATAAAGGAAGACTGATAAACATTGCTGTTTGGGGCTATTCTGTTAGAGAAATTTTCCTACAATGTATCTCTTTTAAAGAAATTCCTACTCTCCACGTGGTGATTATCAGAAAAGTTGGGAGGGGGAGGGCAATATTTTAGTCTAAATGTGAGGGGTATTGTGCTGTGAAGAGAGGGAATGGCATAGGACATTCTCTTAAAGCTTTTCTTGCTTCAGACTGCAGTGGTTTCTAGCAGGGCTGGATGGGAAGGGAATTGTAACCTCTGTAGTAACCAGTAAGTCTGGTCTCAACACGTCAGGCAGACACTCAGTCTTCAGAGGAATTACCTCTGAGAGCTAGGGTGTTCTTGGTAACTTAGGGCTTCTGTGTCAGTCTCCACAAGGAAGCCACAGTCAGCATTGTGTTCTGTGGGAAACCTGCAGGGGCTGATCACTCGTGGTAGTTCTGTCTTCGCCTCTCACTGGAGATAGTGAGCTGATAGAGTGCAGGCACCAGAGGGTAGAGGTGAATGGAATGGAAATGTAGATGGAAATGTGACCAGCACGTGTGATGGTCTCTCCATGGCAGACAGAGCTCTGCATGTGTGAGAAACAGACTGCGGAACAGGACTTGGCTTGATGGCCACCAGCTCTTCTACAAAAAGGTACCTCTTTCCTTTCATTTTAAAGGTGTTTTTGTTGGTTTTTTTTTCCACTTGCCTGGTAGTTGCAGCTCCTAGCTCTTTAGAATTATTTCAAATGTTATCTTAAGTAGTTCACCAAATAGTTGTTTCTTCATCTGTCTGACCGTCTCCAGCTCTTATTTGATTGCATATTATAACACCTCTTAAAATCTCCTAGTTTGGTATAAACAAGCCAACAATGGACCCTTTCTCAGACAGAGCTACTCCTTCAGTGTAATACCACCGTGGGCACCCGATATGTCTGCATGCTGCCCAGAGTTGTTGTTAAACATGAGTCTGTGTATTCAAGGCTAGTTTCCAGGGGCGAGGGTGGGAGGTGCCAAAGTAGCCTTTATGATTTAATGTAGCCTTTCATAGCGGTGAGTGTTATAAGAGAGAGGTCTGCAGAGAGTGAAATAATGGTATAGTTACCGCCAGAGCCAAACATTCATGGTTGGACTGAAGAAGCCATTTATAAAATCAGCACTTTTTAAAGTCAGAAAAACACAAATGAAAGTCATATATCCATGCTCCCCTTTTAATTTTTGAAACTATATTTTGTCTTGTCTTTTCAGATAAAACTTTTTCTGATTTTTTCCCTTCAAACAATGCTGAGAGGTCGATAATGCTTTAACTTTCTTGGAGAAATAGTTCTATATCTTTTATTTTAAGACCAAATGATTAAAAGAGCTCCTACTGAAGCAGAATAATATAGTGTGGTTGGCAACAGAAAGAGATTTTAAGAATCAGTCAGAGTTAACTCCTGTGTAGCCATTCTCTCGTTCTAAGAAGTGGCAGGTTTGGGAACCTCTTTTTGTTTTGTTTTGATGTTAACCGGTAGTGCCGCTTAAAATACTGCAGGTTCAGCTGACTTTTGTGAGGTTTCTTTGGCCACAGCACGAATTTACCATAACATCCATGATAGGGGAGATCTTTTTAGATACATTACCTCGCTGCTAGCTATTAAAGAGCCTGACTCTGGTATTTACAGTTCTCATCTATTACGTTAAATACAGCACTGCACATGATGCACATTCTGCTCTGGAGATTTAGGGGCCTGTGGGTACAATATAAGAAGCATCCAGCATACATCCCCAATCTTGTCGGACTGTGTTGCAAGCTTAATGCACAGGAGGGCTAGACATCACTAGTTTAACCCACAGCTGTAGCTTGAACAGATCTAGTGCAGCGACGAAGTCCCCTCACATATTAGGATCTAGGGACATGGATGTGTTCTGTGTTGCTTAAAGGATGCAGCCTGAGACAGGGTAAGTCGGCAGTATGCGCCTGACGTTCTCCTCGGCAGCGATGTGGTCTCTAAGGGAACTTGCGCTCGTTGCAGCTGCACAGGTAGGACCCGCCGCCGTCTGGCTGCCACCTCTTGACGAAGGCTGCACTTCACCCACCGGCTGAGCTCTGTACGCATGCCCGTCTTCCCTGTCGTTTAGTGGTGTCAACTTATTAATTTCCATCTTCGACTTCAGGCCTGTTAGTTTCCTGTCTGAAAGCATTATTACTTTTGTCCATGTGGCAAAATAATTAGCATACAGATGAGAAGTGGCCCTGGGTCTGAGCGCCGGTAGAGAAAGAAGATGTGCAGTGGAAAGTTGATTGGATGAATGGAGAACAAATGGTGGGCGTTCAAAAGCATTAGAAGAGTTTTGTAGTCGTGGAGCAGGTTGGAGAATTTTCTGGGTGAGTCCCTAAGATGGAAGGCAAGGGTGGCTGCCGTGGGAACGACTGCTTGTCAGACGCTGGCTTAGCTGGAGGTGCCAAGTGGGACTGCAGGCGCAGATAATTCATGGGGACTACTTTGTGTGGCAATTCTTCAGGCTTCTCTTTGATAGCCCCTCCAGGTAAATATGTCCTGTGCGCCCTGTCCTCTTCGGAGCGTTCGTTCTGCTTCCCAAAGTGGAGCAAAGTTCAACTCCTTATGGTCAGTAACAAAAGAATCGTCATTTGCTGCTGGTTGGGTCTAGCTGCTTCATCCATCTTCCCGTGCATATGTCTGAAGTGAAAATTAACTGTTTAGAGATTATTGTTTTCAGAAATTTACAGCAGCCATTATTCAATGTGTTTAATTAATATTTTCTGGAACTGTGTATCGAGACCATCAAAATTAGCAAATGTTGTTTCAATTAAAGCCCAGACATAATTAGTTTTGACTAGTATATATTTTTCTTAGCTGGAAGAAGATTTTAGCTAATTTAACCAGCAACTTACTGGAGATTGTGAAAATTGAACTTATGTGTCTAATGATCTATGGAATCTACAGATAGGAAATATACAAATTAGTGCAATCTTTGATGCTCTCAGGACTCTTCAGAAAAATGGAGATCATTTTTGCAACTCAGTCTTTTGAGTTGAGAGTTGAGAATAGAGCCTGCTGGAATTCTAATGTTCTATTGTCACCAATGACACATTTCTTATATAATTCTGTGACTGTAGTACTGCAATATGGGTGTTTTAATATTTAGTTAAATTACTTCCATCTGGGAGGATTCACTGATAAATAGTTCTACCCTGTTTTAATAATTCCTATTTTCCTTAAAAGGCAAGGTTTTCATTTTAACTGACCTAATTATTTCACCTGCTTGTAAGGTAGAACTCAAGTAGAAATTGTTATCTTTTAACTGTCTTTTTATAGTTTCCTGAATATTTTAGACCACTTGATTTCCTTTTGCTTTTAATTTTAATCTTTTTATAAAAGAGTTGCTTTACTTTGGCTGTTTGCTTTAGACAACAACAGTGAATATTTGACAGAAAATACAACTTTTTTTCGGGGGGGGTTCCTTCTGTTTAAAAAAACTGTACCTTTCAAAAACAAAAACAAACCAAAACCTACCTTTATTAAACCTACACTACAAACATAAGATTTTGGAAAACATATTAACCCTTTATATTAAGCTACTGAAACTTGATTTTCATAATTTTTCCTCTTATACTTTAAGTTTCTGAATACCCAAATTGAGTTTTATTTTTTCATGATAGGTTAACTGTCTATCTTTCTATCAGTGCATGTATAGATATACAATTTTAAAAATTTCATTTGAAAATGTGCTGATAAACTAGAATGAGGAAAAAAATTGAGCTTGTTTTTTTAAAAATGTAACTCAAACAGTAGAAGTATCAAATTGTTCTCAGATTCATGAAATCTGAGAGAAAAGTCATACTTACCTTATGTGTTTTGCTATATTTCATTTTAGAGCTGAGCCAAGCTTTATAGAATTAAAATAACTCCTTCTAGTTTTAGAATGAGTTATAACTTTCTTGAGGCAATATATCAGCATTTAATTTAGCCTCAATGTGTCCATTTATAAACAGAGGGAAGACTTGCACGCTACTTCTCCACAAGACTCTTTGTGCCTGGTTGCCTTCAAAGGTGTACCCCAGGTTTTTAATTTTTTTAAAGGCCCAAATCATATCACATCGCCTCTACTTGACAGAGCCATTTATGCCATTCTTCAGTTCTTAGGCCTGTGGAGAGGGGCTCTGCAAAGACAATGAAAGGTCCCAGGCTAGACAGAGGGTGATGTGTACCTGACTGAAAAGGTGATTGCTGAGGAATTTTTTTCTATTTTTAGTTGGGCTCTAAGGTTGAACGTCATGTTGGAAAGAAAAGCAACCTTTCACAGCAAAATCTTAAAATAATCAAAGAGATTCCAAAATATTAGTCCAAATACTGAGCGCTCTTTGACTTAATTGCTCTGTGAGGGTCATGGTGGCCGGCATATGGGAAGCCCACGATCTCAGTGGGTCTACTCTGCACGTGGGTGCTGCACAGGTCATTGTGTTAGTAGGGTGCCCATTGACTGTGAGTGAAAAAAAAGTAAACATTTTTGAATTGTTATTTGACCTTATTCCCTGTAAAATGCTGTACTAACATGTATTTTTGCACTCTTGGGAGCACTGCCATTAATCTCTTCAATGGTTTTGTGAGTGTGTGTATATATGTGTTTTTTAAATGCCAATGTGAAAGGTTGTGTGTAAGCAAACAGTATTGGATCCATCGGGTTACTATGTGTACCATGTAACCTGTTTTAGATACATCTGTGCACTCATTAATATAGTTGGAAGAACTTTATGGCTCAATATTACATACTGACTGCTGTTAACTAAAGTCTGACTGCCTACATAGCACACTCAAATTATCTTTAAAAATTACCTCAAGGATATTGGACATTTGCTTAAGAAATTTTCAGATGTGGAATGCCAGGTTTAGGATTCTAAATCAAACAACTCATGGATTAATAATTTAAGGAGGGTTTTTTTAAAAAATACATTGACAAAGACTTTCATTATTGGATTTCTAGTTCAAACACTGTTTTGAGTAGGGCCTTCATACCACGTTCTCAACCTAAATTCGTAGTGTGTTTTAATGGCACTCAACAGATTGGCTTTTCAAAAGTCAGCATCACTTCTCAATTCCATGGGCTACCACATCACTGAACCCAAAAGAGCCATGGATGATGCTTAGAGGCTGACTTTAAAATTGGCCCAATCTCCCCTCCCTAGTACACGCCTTCCACTAGCCTGTGCCATCTGAACAGAAGCTGAAAGCACAGAGCATTGTCGCCATGAAACAATGCTAGCCAGACTGGTTGTGGAAATAATCGAGTCTGCAGGGCACCCCATAGAGAGCCATCAAATCAAGTCTGCTCTGGAGCTGTCTGGTAGATTGTGAACATTCAGAAATCAATGCTGCATCTGCTAGTGGACCCTTTGGTTCACTGAAACTCCCACCTGCCTAATGCATCTGGGCAAGAGCTTTTCAGAAACCAGTTTCCTTCAGGATAAATTTAATACGTCTTGAGGGCCAGGCACAAGCAAATTGATTCTATCTCTGCACCAGAAAAACTCATAAACATCTGTAAGAACACAGATTTTCAACAACCCCAGGATTAGGGGATGCTATAATGTAAAATATTCCAAGCCTACTCCCTTCATACCTCATGCCAGCATGGCATTTTTTAATTAGGAAG